AAGAACTTATCTAGGCTAGCTACTTGGCCCGTTCGCTGTGCTGGATGGTTCCGTGAGTCACTAGCTTGTAGATTGGGGATGTTTTTAAGTGGATAGTTTTTAGTCCCAGAACAGATCAAACCAAATCAGACTTAAACAGATCAGATCAGATCAGATCAGATTTGAATTTTTTAGTAATAAAATACACCTAGCCCAGACGTTTACCAGACCAGTTCAGTCTTAAACAGACTAGATCAGCAAAGTTCAATCCAAGTAAAAACATCCTGGCCTGGGTTGGTCTTAGGTCTTACAAAGGCCCAGTGATGGATCTTCATGGGTTTGGACCTGGGAATTCCGTGTGCTGCACTTGATGGCATTCAAATGACTTCTTGAAGATAATTGCGCAGTTATCTTCAAGAATTCATTTGAATGCCTTCCTGATTGAATTGTTAGCTGAAATTTGGTATGAGTAAACTAGACTTAATGAATAAGTTGCTCAAAAAAGTTTATAAAAAAATTTCATCGGGAACCGCCCCAAATGGCGACGGCCGGACATAGCCTCCTAAATAAGGACTTATTTAACCTTTTTTGGTTAGTACATGGGCTTATTTGCCCCTTTTCCCTACTATTTTTGCATAGTTTATCCAACTTAAATAGTTTTTGTTACTTTGTACGGAGCATTGTGTTACTTTCATATGATTTTTAATATATACTTGCTCTTTACTAAAAAAACACGAGTACCTAAAAGCAACTTGGTCAATCACATGATTCACATTTAGAGCCCGTTTGATAGCACGAAAATCGGCTGTTTTGGCTGATTCTGCTTAAATTTATGAAATTCTGGCTGAAGTGGCTGTTTTGGCTGATTCTGCTGATTCAAGAAAAAAATATTTTAGAAATATATTTTATTAATAAATTATAAAAAATTACATGTAAAAATTGCTAAAATAGTCCTCTACAGTAACTTCAGCCAATACAGCCAGAAAAGTAACTTCAACCTTACTTTTTCTGCTTATTACACAATTCAGCACACAAAAGTAAAAGTTACGTGTTTGGTGAAAAAGCTGGCTGATAAGCCTGATAAGCCGAAAAAAGAGGTCTCCAAACGGGCTCTTAGCTTTTCCTTTTTTCATTCTTTTTTTCCCCTTATGGAACCCCTAGGAGCTATGAGAGATTAAATTGTGATCGAGTACTTGTGCCAGCCAATATGCGGGATAGGGAACACTGAGATCGGATTTCACGTTTTTAATCCAATAAAGAAGTAAAGAACATGAGAATTTAGCATATCATTTCACAACTCCCGAAGGTTGCCTCCTTTTATGTTCCACTAGCATTCCATATTTCCATGACCCATAGATACAGTTGATGCACATGATGAAGAGTTAGAGGGTACTTCAAATTTTAATTTACTTGCATTCTTTACACTTCAATTGATGTTTATCATTTTTTTAAATCTATTAAAATTTATGAATTTCGGGATGAAGTGATTGAATTGACCGAATCTACTTAATTATGAAAAGATTGTATGTTAAATGTACTTATTAATCAAATTAAGGGGGAAAAAATGAAAATAGTTAAAATTGTCTTTTACATTAACTCCGGTCAATGTAACCCTATTTGTTTTACATTTCGTTCGAAAAGTAACTAAAACTCTATTTGTTTTTATTATTACACAATTAAGTGCGCGATATAAAAACTATACATGAGGTGGTGATAAGGTCGTTAAATTGAAAATCTGGGTCACGAAATGAGCTGTAAATGTATTCCATTAACCCTTTTCATCTTACAATATAATACGGCTATGTTTGAAAGGTAAAATAAGCTCAAAATGGACTGAAATATTAGAAATTCAGTAAAATGATACTCCGTAAAAGTGATGTATAATAACATATACTATCGTACTACGTAATATGTTGCATATAACTCTTGTCCCGCATATGGATGTAACTTAATCAAACGAAACTATAAACCTTATTGACCTTATAATCGGTCAGGGCTGACATTATATTTATTTGGTTAACTCAATTTTCATTCATTAAATTTGTTTACATAGCTTGTAGACTTTTTTAGAAGGAACATAAATAGTTTGTAGACTCATTCAACATGTTCCATTACTTCAATATAATGACTGAATTTATTATTCTACTCACGCTCATCACAATATTTTCTTTCAATTTTTTCGAATTGAAAAAATTATACAAGAGAAATTAAAAGGCCAATATTATACAAGTAATCAATTGCAAACTTAAAATATAAGATACGTAGTCTCCGTAAAATATATTTTATGGATGCTTGAAGGATGAAACTAGCTTAGGGATGGACTAGAATGGGTCGGTCCGACCCAGGCCCGGTACTGTTTAGGCCCGGCCCGGCTCCGGGCCCGACCCGGTGGCTATAAGGGACGGGCTTCGGGCTCGATTCTTTGGGCTCAATTAGGGTCCTACTGCACTATTTTTTTAATTGAATGAGTGGTACGGTCCCAAAGCCCGGCCCGACCCGTTATTGTTGGCAGGGCCGGTCCTGTCTATTTTTGGGCTTATGGGCGAGATAATATTTTGAGCTTATATTCAAGACAAATAATAAACTATATTTATTTAAAATAATAATTATAATAAAATTATCTAATAAAGGTCATTAAATAAAAACGAAACTCATTTTATTATTATGATTATTATTAAATTACATATTTGGTGAAAAGTAATAACACAAGTATCACATAAAAAGAAAAACATTACTTAAAAATGTTACTCACAAAATTTTCAAGATTCAATTTCTTAACAAAAACAAAAATTTTCATCGACCCCTTCTAACTTTACCCGGTCTTTTCTAATCTTCTCCTCTTTCTCTCTTTATCCCTATCTGATTCACCAATTTTATCAAGAATAATTTATTGATCACAAATGGATTGTTTGAAGCATTGAAAGAAGACGTTTTTTGTTACTGACCGTCGTTTGGGCTCCTCAATTGACTGGCCTTAATTCTTAATAAACCGCTGAGGCACTCACCGCTTTGCAGCGTTCTTTACTCTTGTTGATATTGGAATGTGCAAACAACAAATCAATTTGGATAGGCTTTGTGAATTGGGAGTTTTGGACTTGGGAGATCTAACATAACTTGGTAATTTTGTAATTAAAAGGACTATAAAACTTAGATATCCAAAGAGAATTAAGAGAGACATGCCACTTTACATTTATTTTAAAAATTAAACCTTGAGCCAATTAATTGAGCTTAAAAAAACTACTTACACTACATACAAAGAAATATTTTTGGGCCTACTTTTTCCCTCTATTTTCTTGGGCCTAGGGCGGTCGCCCTTGTTGCACCCCCTAGGGCCGCCCCTGACTGTTGGGCTCCGGCCTAGTACCGGTACAAACCCGAGCCAGTACCGGTACAAACCCGGGCCGATATCAGGGCCGAAATCCTTATTAAGCCCGAAACTCGTCCAGTCCCATCCCGAAGCTCGGCCTGATCCTGTCCCAATCCATCCCTAGATGAACGTATCAAAATTTTAGAGCATCTCCAATGGGGTAGTGGATTGGAGTAAAGTCTATCCTACGTGGCATAGGAGAGAGATAGAGATAGAATGATTATTTTAATTTAATATGGAGAAAGTGGTGTGTATGAAAAATGAAAAGGAAGAGAGAGATAGGAGTAAATTGTAGACAATGTGTATGACAATGTCTACAAATAGACTTTACACGGGAATCGAGGAGTAAAAGTGGATGAAAAGTGGGTTAAAAGTGATATAGAAAAATGAAAAACAAAATAAATGTGGAGATATGTAGGTCCTACACATAAAATTTGTGAGATAAAAAATGGGACTCGTGTGTAAGAATGTGGAAGAGAGTAGACATCCCCATTGGAGATGCTCTTATAACCCGCTCTTTTGGATTTCTATGGACTTGGAAAATACTAAAGAAAGAAAAACAAAAGTTACAAATATTACTCCATATATTCATTTATGTTTGGTTTTGTGACTTTGTCGTAAAATGCAAACTAAATACATACTCCCTCCGTAACGTTCATATCTTCTCACTTTCCTTTTTTGATCGTAACATTTATATCTTCTCATTTCTAAATCTTCCCATCATACCCTCAATAATTAAAAAAATAATACACTATTACACCTACTTTTTTATTTATCCTTCATTCCATCACATTATTTCACTATCTTCCCATCATACCCTTAATAATTCATATCCCTTTCACTATTCTTAATCTCACCCACTTTGGAAGTGGGAAGATATATGTGATACGGAGGGAGTAGTAATTATTATGAAATACTATATGCAGCTCACAAAATGTAAAAAAATCAGTGTATAAATAACGGATTGACTGAAAATTATCAAAAGACCTAATGACCTGTAGCCGGTGATCGAGGATAAAAAAAGTGAGTATTTAAATAAGAAAACTAGTCAGAGCTCAACTAGTAGATAGAAGGTGTCATAAAAAGTAAGTTTCAGATTCGAATCCTAACCACTACAATGAAAGGATATTATGTAAAAAATACATAAAACGTGTGCACGAACTTGTACTTGTGTCAGAGTCTCACTCGCTATATATTATTTTGTGATTAAAGTACAATTTATATCCTCTCATAGTTAGGAAAATGTTCATGTAAGGTAGACCTAAAGGTTAAAATTTTAGGCTTCTTTCATTTGAGGTGCTTCCAAGTTGAATTTTTAAGAATGTTCTTCCTGAATTGTATATTATATCTACCAAATTTCAGTTTAACATATAACCGGGAAGTCAACTAATTTTTTATTCTTTTTTTTTTTTAATTGGGCAGTGTTTTATAGATATAACATGCACTTTTTGTCATGGAGAATATGTTCACAAAATTTCATAAAGAAATTATATTTGAAAGCACTTCAAATGAAAGAGACCTCAAATGAAAGACACCTAAAACTCTAGCTTAGGAGAACACTCGAGGATCTTAATTTTAAATAAGGAAACCATACTTGAGCATGATTACGTCTTGAATCCATTGACTAAAGCATCCATCTCCCAACTGTCACCAATAACAGGCTTGACTTCTCTGCTCTGTACCACATTCTCTGATTCTTTCCCACTTTATAAACTCACACCCTTTCCAACGGGCCCTTCCAACAGTTCTAAGATCAGAAAAGAAAATGAAAGAAACTGTAGAAAAACCCCACCGTATCCCTGAAGAAGAAGAAGCAGAACACGGCGGCGAAGGAGAGATATTCGGCGTAATCTTAAGCCGGAGCCGATCGGTTTCGGCTGCAATTCATTTACAGCAATCCGCCGCCACGAATAAGGCTGATGAGAATAGCATTTTTAGCGAAAGTGCAGCCGGAAAGACGTCGTTCAGCAAGAGGAGAAAATCAGTTTCATCAGCATCTGGTGGAGGCTATTGCAGGATCCATCACCAGCATTTCATTATTGGGGCAGAGCATGGTGGTGGGGATGGTCCTCAGCTCAAGGATTCACAGAAAATAACAGAAAAGAAGAAGAAGAAAGGCAATAGGGTTCTTACAGCCTGCATGAGGTTACTGGGATTTTGATTGAATGCTTCCATTTATTTCATTTCCCAAGTGTTAAATGTAACTATGTAAGTTCTTTTTATGGGTTAACTTGAACTGTATTATTGTTGATTTGTTTAGAGTTAATACCATTTAAAAGTTGTCTCTCTTATTGTCTCTATCTTCTTGTCATTCTTGTTGTACACAAATTTGTACCCAAATTGCACACATGAGATTAGGTGTGTGTACACTTTGTATACTAATTTCGTGTACAAATGTAATTTTCCTCTATCTTTAGGAGCGTGCCCATGTCATTTGGTGGCTTATTCAGCTTATCGCATAATAAATAGAATAAATAACTTTTGATTTATTTATTTGTTTCATCAAAATGCTTAATATAGTTCTACCTATGTCCCTTAATTTTTTTTTATCTTTGATTTTTCAAGTTGATTGTTCTAAAGGTTGGGTAATATGTTGATTAGTATAATATTTTAGAATTTATAAATTTTATACAAAATACTTTTAATAAAGAATATTTTCACACGCATATCATTTTTATATTATAAATAACTTCCCATACAAAAATATAATTGACCAAAATTGGACATAGTTGACAAAAACAATTCAAAAATGACAATGTTGTAAGGGATGTTTGGAGTATGTAGCATCTGCTTTTTTAGATTTAGTATATGCATTTTTTCATTCCTTACATATATTCTCACTTTCTCATTGATTGAAGCTCTAAATATTGCCCAATTATTGGTAGTAGTGATGTTTTGAATTTTTTTTGTCAAAAAAAGAAGAGAAGTTAGTTTTAACTTTTAAATGTCAAATTTCTTTTTTTATTAGTAAAGTTGATGATTGGACTGACTAAATATAAAAACTTGTAGTATATATTTACTAAAATACGACTTCTTTTTGGATAAAGTAATTAATGCTTTGCTTTTTTTCTACTTTTTTATTTATTGTACAACTCCATATAATATTGACCAAAACTATCCTTCTGGGATAAAATATGTAACTTAGGATCAAAGTGATACAAAAATCCATATTTGAATTACTACTTTAATTGGTTAATTTTAATACCGATGGAAAAAATCTGGCATACTAATACGGTATAGTACTTCATTCGTCCCTTAAAACTTTGTCATGTTTCTTTTTAAGGATGTTCTTAATAACTTTGTCGCTTTCTCTTTTAATCAATTATTTTGTGGTTCATGTTATTGATATCTACTTTGCACAAGTCTCAATCACATAGTTTTTACTTTATTATTTCTCGTTCTGATCAAATTTGACAAAGTTTTATGGAACGAAGAGAGTATAAGTACGCCCCTCAACAAAAGCTTTTCATTTATACTTATTTGATGATAATATTAAATTATTGTGGTTACATACGATAGTATGAGATACTCCTCCCGACCCGAAAAGGTTTGTCAAATTGACTTTTCTTAGTTAAAGACACTCAACTTTGATCAATTATATTTTTTAACACAAAATTATACTCCGTTAGTCCCTTAAAATTTCGTCAAGTTTGATCGGCACAGAGATTAATAAAGTAAAAACCGTGTGTTTGAGGTTTGTGTAGAGGAGAGAATTAACCAGAACCACAAATTCTTTACTTAAAAGAAAAATGGAAATTTTAGTGGGACAATAAAAAAACAAAGTTGACAAAGTTTTAACGGACGGAGGGAGTATTAAATATGAAATTTATATTAAAATGTTCCTTAATGAAAAATCATAAAAGTATAAACTTGATATATTAAACGGACTATACAAATATCATAATTAACATTATATTTTTGTTTAACATTTAAAGTTGCATATTTAAGACGCCAATACAAGATTAAGTAACTTGTTATGGTCTTATTGGGTCAGTAGCGGCCAGGCCCAAATACTCCCAACAGTCCAATCAGCACAATAGGCCCAGCGCTTGCCTTCAGTTATGATCGGGCTTGGCCAAAGGTACCTGTCTCGCTCGATATGCCTCACTCGGGGAGGATCGAGTGGGGAATGACACGCACTAGAAGTTTTCTCTCTTTTAGCTAATCGGTAGTTAGAGGTTAGCCATCAAGGGTTTGCCACGTCGCCCCTTTCACTGATTATTTTGTAGTATAAAATGTCACTTTTATTTCATTGGAAGGGATACAAAAAATGTGCATTCAATAACTTAACTTTTCTCTACTCTCTTCGGTAAAGTCTCAGTTTAGAACTAGAAATTGGTGGCTCAAACTCAATAAGGGTGTGATGTAATAATCATTTTTTTTTGCGGAAAATAAAATTAATTGCTATTAATCAAATCATAATCAAGTACATCAATAACAAAAGGAGGGGAACTAAAAAACCAAATATGACTATCAGACAAAGAACCCGCTGCCTTAGCCATCGCATGAGCTGCTCGGTTCGCTGATCGTCGAACATGAGAAAAAATAATACTAACAAAGTTAGCCATCAAATCTCGTATATCCTCGGCTAAAATTCCAGAATAAGATAAACTCGAACCCCTTTGAATTTCTTGAATAGCTAGAAGAGAATAAGATTACACATCAATAAAATCCCATTGTTGAGCCTTAAGCCAACTGAGAGCTTCCCTCACACCCATAAGTTCAGCTTCGAGAGGGGTAAATTTACCGGTCCCAAAGTACATCCACTTGCCAAAAATATTCCATAGCTATTTCTTACAACCCATCCAAACCCGCATCGCTCTCCCCCGGTTGAGGCATCCACGTTAACTTTCCACCTCCCTGCACCAGGTCGCTGCCCTCCCTGACCTTCCTGAATCCCATCCCCCTACTGTTTTTGGTCTACACTTAAAATCCCAGCTCCTCCAGCGAATCCCTTCCCAGCATGACCATTCCACCAATACCCATTCATTATTACTTCAATTTCTCGACAGAGGTCAACGGGTAAAAGGAAAACATTCATTGCGTAAGTCGGCATGGCCTGAATAACTGTTTTCAAAAGAATCTCCCTCCCAGCCTTCGAAAGAAATCTCTTATTCCAATTCTGGAGTTTTTTAATTACCCGATTCCTCAAATACCCAAGGATCTCCCTTTTACCTTTCCCAAACATCGCCGGTAAGCCCAAGTACCTCTCCTCCTCCCCGGCAGATCCAACTTGCAGCAAATCTGTCAGCTCCTTCTTAACATAGTCTGTCACATTGGCACTAAAAAAGAATTTAGATTTATTGAAATTTATCATTTGACCGGAGGCTGATTCATACGCTTGTAAAATCCCCCGTATGGTCAAAGCTTCGGCTTGTGAGGCCTGAAAAAAAAAAAAGCAAACTATCATCAGCCGCAAATTATATCGTGCATCCGGTTGCAAAATGACGGAGTATTGTGCCTGGTTTCTTTATTTTTTATTGCTTTTGTTGTTAAAAAATGGTAATAACTTTTTTATTTTTGATCCGATTTTTATAAAATTTATATCAATATTTTTATTTTTCATGATCTTTCAAATGAGACCAATATTGCTTATGTAATTTTAAGAAATTATCGAACTATTATATTAATGAGTATTGGATTATAAGGAAAATCGAACTAAATTTAATACAGAAAAATAATTGTGTAATCCACAATTTATCTTAAAATTGTGTATATAAAAAATTTATTGTATTATGTATTTATACATGTGAGTTACATATTTTTACACGCAAAGTTACATATTTCTACACGCGAGTTACATATATATACACACGAGTTGCATTTGACCTGCCTGAACGCGAGTTACATATATTTACACGTAAAGTTACATATTTTTACACGTAAAGTTACATATTTATACACGCGAGTTATATATTTATACACACGAGTTGCATTTGACTTGTCTCAACGCGAGTTACATATTTTTTACGTAAAGTTACATATTTTTACACGTAGAGTTACATATTTATACACACGAGTTGCATTTGGCCTGACTGAGCGTGAGTTACATATTTTAACACGTAAAGTTACATATTTTTACACGCAAATGTTAATATGTTAAAATTACATAGGCAATATTGGTCTCATTTGAAAGATCATGAAAAATAAAAAATTTTGATATAAATTTTATAAAAATCGGATCAAAAATAAAAAAATTATTAACATTTTTAAAAAAAGGAGAAATAAAAAATAACAAAGCCAAAATATATGAACTGCTTCTTCGCTCTCCCAGGTATACCATGCACATCGTGGGACGGTTGCATGGTATACGAACTGATCATCAGCAAAAAATAAATGGGAAATTCGCGGTGCTCTTCGCACCACAGCCATGCCATGAATCCTACTGCAAGCCTCATGTTTGCTAATAAGAGCACTTAAGCCTTCCGCTATCAGAAGACAGAGATACGGTGATAACGGGTCACCTTGACGAAGACCCCTAGTAGGATAAATCGGGCCCAACTCCGTAGCATCAAAGGGGATTGAGTAAGATACTGAGGAAACACACTCCAAAATTATCCTCACCCATCTCTCCGCAAACCCAAGACGTCTCATCATCCCCTCTGAAAACTCCCATTCAACTCGGTCATATGCCTTACTCATATCTAACTTCAGAGCCGCAAACCCTGTTTTACCCTGTCTTTTTCTACGCAAGTAATGTTGAGCTTCGAAAGCAACCATAATGTTATCAACTATAGACCTTCCGGGAATAAAGGCACTTTGAAATTCGGATATACAATGATATAAAAGCCATTTCATTCGGTTTGCGAGCACTTTAGAATAGATCTTATATATCACATTACAAAGTGCTATCGGTCTCCAATCTCCTATGACCTCCAGCTTATCTTTTTTAGGAATTAAGACAATATGAGTGTGATTTACCTTATCGGGTAGCCTTCCTGATTCAAAGGCAGTTCTGCAGTAGTCCACCACATCCGGTCCAATCACATCCCAGAAGTGTTGAAAGAATCTTGGGCTCATGCGGTCCGGCCCTGGCGACTTATCTGGATACATAGAAAATACTGCCTCCTTGACTTCTTCAGCCCGAATCGTTCTCAACTGAATGTTGAAGGTCAACTGAATGTAATCATCATTATACCATCATTGAATGGAGCTTGATGCATTTTACCATCTTTCTAATTGTACGTCTTGGTTGCTATTATTGCCTATTAGTCATCCAATAAATACACAGACACCTAAAAGGTCCAACAAAACCTAAAGAACTGTGTTGGCCATGAGAAATTTAACCTCAACAATACCAACCATCAATCTATCATAAACCAAAAAAAGCTACTCACATCACATAAAAATAAATGCCAAAATTGCTTCATAAGCTAGTTTTCTATGAAAGAATATATTACTATATTAGGGATACAAACATAGACGTAATATATTGTCTCAAATCATAGTATCGACAGCACTTGTAGGAAACCGTACCGCTAGTGCTAATCCATTTGTACCTTTTGACTTATGTGAAATCTGTATCACGAGAAGTGCAAATATCACAATCTTTTATGTATAATAAACATATAAAAGTGACTCATAGCCCCTAATTAGCCCGCAATTGCCCAACGTACTTTAGACTATTATTACTCGTTCCATACTTTAAGTCGTCTACATATTTGTTGTTATCGTTGCGCACTCCGTACTTAGACTAGTGTGGATAAGGATGCATATTCCCTCTTCAATAGACAATAAGTTGAAAACGTTTAAGAGCTAAACTATAAATTTGAAGATTCTTTTCACTCTCATATTTTGAGCCATTCTATGTGAGCCACACAAAATCACGGTAAGTGCATATACATTTTAGAAAAGATTTTTTTATATAAATATTACTAATAAAAAGTCATGGACAAAAATGTGACTTAGTAACTATATTAATGACTATAATTGTGGTCAAAATTTACATTGTAATGACTTATATATAGTCAATATGATGTAAACTTTGAACACAATTATATCGTTGTAGCACTAAGTTGCATCCAATGATGTTTTTACTTGGACTGTAATTTGTTGGTTTGGTCTGATCTGGTCTGCTCTGGTCTGGTCTGGTCTGTTCTGGTTTCTTTGTATTTTTATAACAATCCATGTTTGGTCTGATCTGGTCTGGGACAAATTACAGTCCAAGTAAAAACATCCTTAATCCACCACTTTTTCAAGAGTAATAGTAGTGATCTTTAGAGAACTGTTTTCAATGTTGTAAAATACATAGTACCTAAAGAATATCAATCGAGCGTTTTCCATGATTGTCCATCCTTATACATAAATGCTAATTGCTAAACACTCGTACTACTCTATAATACTATTGGAAGTAGTAATGTTTCTATCAAGCTTGGCCTGAACCGTCATCCGACCACCACCATTTGAGGTGCTTCTCAATGATTTTTTTAAATTGTGATGTTGAACTAATTGGGTTAGGATTGCAACTTGGCATAGCCACAAGGTTCCCAACTACAACGGTTGTTATTTTTACAAGTGATCATATATGCTAATATGCACCCAGATTTAGATACGAGTCGACCAAAGCTACAACATTATTAGTCCTGGACTCGGGCCGGGCGGACCAAACCGGGCCCGACCCGGCCCGCTCACTGTAGCAACCGGCCCGACCCGGTCCACCGGGCCACAGGCGGTTCGGGCCTACCCGGCCCGGGTGTAGGGCGGTCCGGGCCCGGGCCTTTATTTTCTTGAACCGGCCCGGCCGGGCCGGGCCCGGTCCGGGCCTAACGGCTAATTTTTTTAAAAAAAAAAAAAAATTCTTTTTTCAAATTTTTTTGGGGCTTGGTCTTGGTCTTTGTAGCCGTTGGGGCTGTTAGGGAGCCTCCAAACGGCTCTATAGCCGTTGGAGGGGGGGTGGGGGGGTGGGGGGGTGGGGGGAGAAAAAAAAACCTATTTATACTCCTATTTTCTATACATTTTTTACACCTTCTCTACTCTCTAATTCTCTATTCTCTCAATCTCTAAAATCTTCATTCATCTTCATCTTCATCTTCTATTCTTCTCCAATTTATCTCTACATATATATTATTTATATAAATATTATTATATCTACTTATATATTAATTATCTACTTATATATACATATATTACATTACTAATATTTATTATCTACTTAATATATATTTATTATCTTATAATTAGCTAGTTTACATATATATATATATATATATATATATTATATAACTTATATTCCTTATCTACTTAATTTCTACTTATTATTAATATATTATATCTACTTATATATTTATTATCTACTTACATATACATATAGTACTTTACTAATATTTATTGTCTACTTAATAGTTAATATATACTTACTATCTTCTTAAAGTAGATAATTTGATATCTAATTATCTACTTTACAAGTTTACATACATATATTATCTTCTCCCTATTCATCATCAACCAATCGGCCAATCCACCAAGCCTTGGTGACCAAGGTATTCTTCTCTTCTTTTATCCATTAATGGCGTTATATTCAAGTAGTAAATTTGGACATTTTAATTTAAGTATAAAACTAGTTAAGTTGTTGCATTATTCATTAAAGTGTACAAGTAGTAAAATTGGACATTTTAATTAAAGTATAAAACTAGTTAGTTTGTTGCATTTGTCATTTAAGTGTACACCTAGTAAATTTAGACATTTTAATTAAAGTATAAAACTAGTTAAGTTTTTGCATTATTCATTAAAGTGTACACCTAGTAAATTTATACATATTAAAATATTTGATATACTTTTATATTTGTTAAGATGGAGCGCGGTAGACATTCTTTGGATATCGGAAATCTCCAACGCAACCGAAAGAAGGAGATTGCGAGAACTCATCCTAGTTTGCGCAGAAAAAGCGGGCAGTCCGGATCTTCTTCTCAAAGTGGATGGGAGGACGAACCGGAATACCAACGGCGAGATGGCGAAAGAATGTCCGACGAGCAACTACAACAACTATTGTCTCAAAATCCTCAATTTTTCCATCAACGAGACATCCCGGTCCTCCCGGACGATATTCACACCATTGACGAAGAAGAGCTCGAGGATGACGATCCGGAGGAGGACGCGGGGGGCGCCGGGAGTCACGGCACCCCGGATGAGGAGCAAGCGGCGGACCACGAGGGTGACGAGGGTGGTTCATCCCAAATAGGTACGAAATCTAAATCTCCTATTATAGAAAATAATTTTAAAAAGTATAAAGACCCAAGCACCGAGAAATGGTACGCAAGTTGCAACCATTGCGATAAGGTGTACAGTTTGGGAACTTCGGGCGGATACGGGAGCCTCAAAAGGCATCTTATGGGCAAGCACAAGGTGGAGTACGCAAAAATTGAGAAAGGCAAGGGGAAGCAAACACAAATATCGAGGTTTGCAAATAACCAACCTTATGGTAATTTCTCATACAATGATCAACAAAATTTGACTGGTATGGCTAACTTTATAGTTGAAGAAAATTTACCTTATTTGTTTTCTGAAAGTGTTTCTTTTAAAGAGTATGCACAAACTTGTTTAAATCCTCAATTTCGAAGTTATAGTCGAAAAACGGTTAAAAAAGAAATTATAAGGCTTTATAAGGCGGAAAAGTTGAACTTACAAATTTTTTTTGCAAACTATGATGGACGTGTTACTGTTTGTTCTGACATATGGGAGGACACCTATCATAATTTACATTATTTGGGTTTGACTGCACATTATGTCGATGATGATTGGAATATGCATAAACGTGTTCTTGCTTTTCGTGAATTTAATGATCGTCACACCGCCGAACATATTTATATTTTGATTGAGCGTATTTTAATTGAGTATAATTTGGTTCATAAGGTGTTTGCTATAGGTTTTGATAATGCTACTAATAATAGTGCTGCTATACCTAGATTGCGTGAATTGTGTGGTGCTACTACTTTGATGGGTAGATTTTTTCATCAACGATGTGCATGCCATATAATAAATTTATGTGTGCAGGATGGTCTAAAAGCGTTGGGAGATGCTATGGAGGTAGCGAAGGGGGGGATTAGACGTATTTGGGCTAATGGTCAACTTAAATTAAAATGGAAAAATTATTTGAATGAAAGAAATGTGAAATATGTTGCTTTTCCTAAAGATTTGTCTATTCGGTGGAATAGTTCTTATAAATTAATTAGAGTTCTTATTAGATATAAAGAACATTTTCCTGCTTTTTTAAAAGAATATGATAACTACATTTTAAACTCTGCTCACATCGACACTTGCGAAAAAATTTGTAATGTTTTGATATTTTTTAATAATGCAACTGAAAGTTTTAGTCATGTTTATAAACCTACTTCAAACGAATTTATGCGTGAACTTGTTAATCTCGCCGGTGCTTTTAATGAATTTCAAAATGCCGATTATGTGAGCTATTTTTGTACTTTTATGAAGGAAAAGTTTTTAAAATATTATTCACATATTCCACATATTTATGGTATTGCTTTTATTCTCGATCCTCGTTATCGACTTGGTAATTTGGAACAATGTTACAAGTTCTATTATCAATCTTTTTATGGTGATTTTCCAATGTATGAAGATAACCCTATAGATCCGCAATCTGAATACAACGAGGTTAGTAGTTTATTTTATTCTTTATTTAATGAGTTTCGTGCACAATATGGCAACATGCCCCCTCCCCCAACCCAAACATCTTCATCTAAAGGAAAAGGTTTTTTTAAATCTGCATTTGGCAATCTTATGAAAAAAGCTAAAACAACGCACACTACTGAACAAAGCACAATTAATGAGATTGCTTTGTATATTAACTATGAGGTTGAGTTTGTAGAAAATGAAGATTTTGACGTCCTAAAGTGGTGGAAGTCAAAAGAAAGAACGTTCCCGATTTTGGCACGGATGGCTAAGCAAGTACTATCAATGCCGGTTTCAACAGTTGCCGTGGAACAAGAATTTAGTTCGGCCGGCAACGTCCTAACTAAATCGAGAACGTGTTTGAGTGCCGAATCTCTTGAGACACTTATATGCTACCACGATTGGTTGAAGGCAAGACGTAGAACTCAAGAACTTAGCCTCATCCCCTCCCAAGACTTTATGGATGAATCAACCGATGGTGGTTCTACCTATGCCGGGGATTCCGATTGATTAGTATTTTACAATTTCTTATTTTATCCTCAATTCTCTATTGTAATTTGTGAACTTGTAGATTTGTAGTTCATATTTCAAAATTCAAATCAATAAAAGTTAAATTTTTTTATATGTCGCATTTTTTAATTATATTATATTATTATTACTTAATAGAAAATGTATTAGAATTAATTGTTCTCAATTCTCAAAATGTACTTATTACTTATTTCACATAAATGTACTTCAAGATTGTTTTTAAATAATTTTAATATTCAAGATTCCAAGTAGATGTATAAGAATATAAGATAAAAAAAAAAAAAATCTAGGCCCGACCCGACCCGCCGGTTCACCCGACCCGGGGCCCGGCCGGGTCACCCGGCCCGAACCGGCACCCGCTCACAGGCGGGCCGGGCCCGGGCCTTACATTACCGAACCGAGGCCCGAACCGGGCCCGAACCGGCCCGAGGCCAGGCCTAAACATTATAAAAGTTCACATTTATTGAGCCTCGATCTATTCTATTGAGTATTACACTACAAAAAATACCCCAATTCATTGTGTATTGTAAAATAATCTCTTTTTGTTCAAATCGCTGAAATAGACCTATTATTCTAGGGAAAAACTAAGACAATTAGAACCCATATAATCTTATCAATCAATTTTTCTTTTTACAAAACACATAACTTTTACATATAAAATATATTGGAGTGTGCAAGAAGCACTTCAACACATGGCCTCCTGATTTTAAAAACCCGGAATTTTAAAAATAAACTCTATATATTATACAAAATGCTGTTTTATTTGTTTAATGATTCCTATGTTAGTATTGTTTAAATTTTAAAATACAGAAAGTTTAAAGCAATACGTACTTACGTAGTATTTATTTATAATTAAAATATAATTCCTTTTGAAAATTGTGCAAGATTTTATTGCATAAAGCCTAGTTGTAGTTATTAGCATTAGGTCCTCCTACAATTTGAGAATTGAGACGACTTTGTATATAACTAAAGACCAAGTCTAAGTATACATTTGGTCAAAAAAAAAGTATACATTATTTTGATAGAGTTTTTTTGTATATTCCAACGTGCCACCTAATTATTGGATGATAAAACTAACTCACTTCATCTTCCAATTAGTAGATACACAATTTGAATGTACAGAAAAACATATCCAATAAATTTAGACATCGACTTATTGTATAACTAATACTACATACTGTTATTTTCTTTAAAATGTAAATAATTTATAATCATCGCCGCATAAACCCCATTGCCTGGTAAACATTTTGGAGAGTGACATTTGCAACGTTTGCTGCGTTCATAGCGCCTTCTGCTAACACTTTATCCAAACAGTCACTATCAGACATTATTTCCTCATATCTAACCTGCAATTTGGTAAAACCCAAGTGATTGACATTACAATAATATAATAGTTCTACAATCAGTTCACTCTAATTTTCATGAATTGTTATTCAATACATATACAACACAATCAATGCTAAAGACTCAGATTAATCAATTCTTTCCACGATAGAGAATTTCTAATTCTCATACTGATTGTTACATTATAATGGTAAGTGGCACTGTACCTATTTGATTTGTATCGTTTTGGTACCTCAACTCATCAATGTATGTCACAATGGTACCTTATAATGTTTAATTTTACATTAACTCACAACATAGTTAATTCCAATCAAATTTGACTATTGTGTAACTTGGATACAATAAATGCCACATTAGATTCAATGCGATTAAAATTTTTAGAAATGTATCTTAGTCAGTTTATGAGCTTTTTCATGAACCAGCTTCCATCATACACAATACAAGACCACAGAAATCATTTTGGTGCTGTGGAATGTAATATTTAAAGGAGTAAGTATTTATACCGCATTTTTTGTAAACGTCATTTAAATATGGAGTACTATTTTTCCACCCCTCAAAACTTTCCAATATTTAATCAACGTTTCTTTACCTATATTAAACCTCACAAGGGGAGGGGGATTTCACTGGGACCTTCTAAGGAATTCATACACAAGCACCTCTAAAATGCCTCATAAGCAAAATAAACATCAACCTGGATAGGATGTAGATGTGCAACTAAAGCATCTGTAAGCAAAGGCTTAAATGCTCCCCAGCTCATATTTTGTCATTCCTCAGTAACTTCCTGGCAATAAAAAGTACTATGAAATACATATTGTAATATTGATCCAAGAATGTAAAGCCTATTGACCAATTGTAACCTTTGTTTTTTCAAAAACAGTAAGTTAAGAAGCTTGGTCTTTGTCATGTAGATACGTAATTAGTCCTTTCTAAAAGCACATTTGTCAATTTCATGCCACGCCAATTTAAAATCTAGTCCGTCTAAAATTTCTCAATCTTCTCTGTTTAGTACTATGTTATATAAAGCTTTTCCAATCACCTGCTTTGTCTTGCCTGACACAAGCTGATAAATAGAAAGAAGATTGTTGCATTCTGGTCTATCAGGGTTGTCAAATTCCAAGCTGAAATATGTAAGACAATAAAAAGGTACAAAAGGTTTAAAAATCCATTCATTCATGTATTGTAAGAATTAGGTGGGGGGATTCAGCAAATATTCGAATAAAAAATGCTAAATTCCCTCTTACATATCAATATAAATCAAAAGGCTAATGAAAGTATGAAACAATAAATTAAGAGAAAACTGAAAACTAAATTTAGTGTAAACTAAATCTTTTATCTGGAGTTCGTTCAAGTATTTGATAGATATAATAAGGAAAACTTACCCACTCAATGAGTCAGTTTTGCAACGTTTTATCTTATTTGCTATTGCCTACAAAAGAAAACAACAAATTGACAAATTATATGACAACAATACATGGCAAAACTCTTATCTTATAAACATACATGGCAATACTAAATGATCATCTACTGCTGAGGAAACAAATACTCTATAACATAAAAGTGGATTCTACAGACCTAAACATAGTTTCTTTCTGTTTGAAGCAAATTTTCTAAAAGACAAATACCCTATATTAGAAGCTAACAAACATCTCTTATCTTTAAGTTTAATAAAAGAAATAAAGACTAAAAAAAGAGTCCGGACTTCTCATTTTCCAAAACTAGGACTGATTTTTAATTTGACAAAAAAAGGACCGCACCAGATCTCCAAGCGACGCACCAGATCCCACAGTCTTCACTGAACTTCTCCCCTGTGCGCAACAACAGCACCGACCAAAGCTCCAAACATCAACGTCGGACACCTTTTCGCCGATACACGCCGCCGCCGCCCGCTCGCGTCTGCAACGTTGTTCTTCTTCGTCTTGGTGCTTCAGCGGCTCAGCAACGAAGATGTCTTGGTCGACGATTCCATGGACGATGGGAGAAGCTTCAACAAAGCCTTCATCAATGTTACTAGATCTGTGGCGGCTGCAGTTCGATTCCATGGCTCACCCCATATTATTGTCTAAATTGGACTTTGCATCCCGTTTTTAAAAAATCTTTGTTTTTGCATCCCAACCCTATATGAAAAGACAAAAATGCCCCTCCATTGACAATTCAGTTGACCTTCAACATATTCCTGATTGAGGGCATTTTTGTCTTTTCATATGAGGTTAGGGTGCAAAAACAAAGATTTTTAACAATAGGGTGCAAAGTCCAATTTAGACAATAATATGGGGTGCAAACTCAAAGTATCCCATTTTAATACTATGTAACTCAAATTTATCTCTCAAGTTTTTGTATGTCTCAATGGCTCTGTAAAAATAAAATTTAAAGCATTTTTTGAATGAGTTCAAAAGAAAGACAAAAACCTGTAAATCAGGTATATTTTGATGTCAAACAGGATTGTTACTTGTTAGGGTTAGTAAGGGACTAAAACTATAACATAAATTACAAAACAATGTGGGGATCTAAAATGAAAACACTATGGTTGCAGAGAGACTACAAACATATTTAAGGCTTTTTATAGCATTTTTCTAATGAATAACAATAAAATTCGAAAAAAGCCTATTTAGTCTTAAATATTAAACTTCATTTGAGGTTGATAAAATAATCCATTGCAGTTACCCAGCTAGGGAGTTGTAGGGTCATAAATATTCATTTTATCATTCCTTGTAGAAAATTGAAAATAAAACATAAGTACTTCCAAGTTCCAATTTAACTATTTGCATATATTTATATGATCTATCACTTCTTACTTCCTACATACAAAAAAACACATTCTGATCTTGGCGCTAAAAAGAAAAATCATTCTGAAATCTTTTAGTATGAATAACAATAAAATTCGAAAAATGCCTATTTAGTCTTAAATATTAAACTTCATTTGAGGTTGATAAAATAATCCATTGCAGTTACAGCTAGGGAGTTGTAGGGTCATAAATATTCATTTTATCATTCCTTGTAGAAAATTGAAAATAAAACATAAGTACTTCCAAGTTCCAATTTAACTATTTGCATATATTTATATGATCTATCACTTCTTACTTCTTACATACAAAAAAACACATTCTGATCTTGGCGCTAAAAAGAAAAATCATTCTGAAATCTTTTAATAAGAAGTTCTTGAAAGTTGAAACATTCAACTAAAGGGGGCAGCCCTGTGCACATCAGCGTCCCCGCAAGACTAGAGTCTGGGGAAGGGTCCCACCACAATGGTGTATAAGGGGCAAGCCTTAGCTTGTCATTTTGACAAGAGGCCGCTCCCAAGTGAACCAGTGACCTCTCAGTCACACGGCAACACGGTAACAGGTGCGCCAAGGCTCCCCTTCTTTTCAAACATTCAAATATGTAAAACAATTTCAGTCCAATTAAATGTGGTGTTCATAACAGAATAATAACCAAATTAGTGCAGGATTTTTATTCCGAGAACTTAACTTGAACATAGCTATAGAAAATCACAAAAGCACCATTATAGAAAGTGTCAAAAACATTTCAAAATCTCCATTTGAAGCACAACTACATTTCATACGGTAAGTATTCTGGGTGCATGGTAAAGCAAGTCTGGTAGAACTAGTAGGATTAAAGGTATGCGTTAAAGAAGATTAATATGTGTTTATTGACCACAAATGGTTTTCAGTAGTGGGTGATGAGAGACTAATTGGTCAGGATTGTATTTAAAACCTATCACATTTTTCATAGCTTAGAACAACCATATAGAGACAGAGAGGGAAAAAAACACCACATGCTAATTCAAAAGGTAGCCATTGAACGGAAATTGTGGGTGGTGATCCTTGAAAATGAGAACCCAAACCACAAGACAATGACTGAGGGACCAAAAGGGGGTTTTCAAACTAATTTTCTATTTTGTAAAAGATCGCGATGTTCAAACCTATGGAAACAGCATTTATTGAAAGCTTCACAAACAGAAGCTGATAATGAATATATAACACTGAAACTTACATCTTTTGGATCAAGCAAGTTAATACGAGATTGGTCAGAAGGTGCAGACTTTGACATCTAAGCACAAAAAACCATTAGCTCCATAAATAAAAGATGTCTGAAAAGACTAAATATTTCAATATAAGATACACAAGGCTTTAGTATGAATATTGTTTTAGGGAGATGATAACAAATCCCAGGTGCAAAGAAAAATCAACTACCCCAGGAAAGAACAAGATGCGAAGGGGCTGTCCATATTTATATGTTATTATGAAAAAGTCAAGACTGTAAGAGACAAAAAAGTTCATGTTGACTTAAAACCTTTGAAAGGCCATCAGTAAGGGACATTATTCGAGCTCCAGCAGGTGGAATGAGAGGTTCAGGTACCTGCATGGATGAAACAGATCCTGTAACTATTGTGCCAACTATGACCATGTTTAAGGACAACACAAATATATGAGAAATAATTCACCTTAAATATTGGACCACCTCGCCTGTCACATGAGGATATCATTAATTCTCAAATAAATTCAACTTATTCAAGGGTAAAGTAAAATTTAAAAATATAAAAAATGGCATGCTCCCCCACCCAAAAGAAAAATAGTCTTCTCTGGTCAAGGTACAAAAAACCTACTTTACACTCTTAATTGTTGTCGAACTAATTTATCACATGCACCTTGTTAATGTTTTAGCAACTTACATGCAAATTTTGTTTCATTTGATGAAATAGGACTCCCTTTTGCAAATTTACCAATGCTTCAAGCCATGCAGGTTAACCAAGCCATTATCCGGTTTTGTGCAAGAATGTGGAACAGTGGAAGACATGTAAACTTACCCTCCCAACTTCTTCCATTTTTTACCTCCATATAAATAGTTAATTCGTTCTGCAAGCTCTCGTGTCAATTCAAGATGTTGCTTCTGATCCTCTCCAACAGGAACAAGATCAAGCTGCAGAAATGGTTTAAATTATTAAATATGAGAGTGTTGGAACTTCGGATATAATAAAAACATAAGATTCAGTGATATCTTCTGCAACGCGACAAATGTTACAAAAAAAATATCAATATACTCGTGATGTCATACCAATGAAAGAATAGCTAAAATGATGGAATGAATGGGCTAAAATGTAGATTCATGCAAACAGATTACTACTTGGATATTCCACTGTGTTGCAACTTGCAAGTAGAGAGAAATGACCTGGTATAGAAGAATATCAGAAGCCATCAGTACAGGATAGGTTAGAAGGGCAACCCCAACATTTTCATCTCCCTGGGTACAAAAGGAAAAAAAAAACAATTCTCATGGGAACTATCAAGAACAACCAAATGAAGGGTGATGAAATTATTGGGAATAACAGGATCGTGCTAATTTGAGAGAAAAACACTTCTATTACTTTCAAGAATAGAAAGAAGAGACATACAAGCTCTAACTAAAAACTCTCAAAACACCTCACATATCTCTCAAGGATATTCACAACTCAAACTTGGTTGTGGTATTCTAATCTATGATCTAAATTGCTTGATGATAGAAAGACTCTCCAAGCTCTCTATTTATAGCACCAAAACTAGGTACTAGGAAGGTGGGAGGAAGATGGGTGGAAGCTTAGGAGAAGCTTCAATGGAGGTGTGAGGAAGGTGGTTGTTTGGTGTGAGGAAACTTCCCAGAGACATACTTGCACATGGAGGAAGTTTCATGGATGTTGCTCACAATTGGATTCTTCAATTTGCTTGTACTTGGATATGACCTGGAAATTGAATTCTTCAATTCTCCCCTTCCAGGCATATTCAAAACAAGCATCCCGACTATGTCTCTGCATAGCTCTAGCTTATCTCGTGTCACCACCTTTGTCAGCATGTCTGATGGATTCTCCTTTGTATTGATCTTCACTAGTCTCAACAGTTGTTGATCAATCGTCTCCCGTATCCAGTGATACCGAATGTCAATATGCTTTGTACGAGAATGGTACATGGAGTTCTTGCTCAAGTCTAGAGCACTCTGACTGTCACAATGTACCTTATACTCTTTCTGCTGGATCCCAAGTTCTTGGAGAAAGCGCTTTAGCCACAACATTTCCTTACCTGCTTCAGCGGCAGCAATGTATTCTGCTTCTGTTGTAGATAAAGCGACACACTTCTGCAATCTTGATTGCCAAGAAACGGCTCCCCCTGCAAAAGTGTAAATATATCCTGAAGTAGACTTTCTACTATCAGTATCTCTGGCCATATCAGCATCTGTGTAGCCTTCCAAGACTGGATCAGCTCCTCCGTAACAAAGGCATAACTTCGTGGTACCTTTCAAGTACCTGAGAATCCATTTGACTGCCTCCCAATGCTCCTTCCCGGGGTTAGAGAGAAAACGACTCACTGTACCCACTGCCTGTGCGATGTCTGGCCTTGTGCATACCATGGCATACATCAAACTCCCAACTGCTGAAGAATATGGAACTGTTGACATCTCCCCGATCTCTTCCTTGGATGTAGGGCATGTTCTTTTGCTCAACTTGAAGTGATTCGCAAGTGGAACACTTACTGGCTTGGCATCATTCATGTTGAATCTCTCAAGTACTCGTTCAATGTACTTCTCCTGAGATAGCCATAACTTGCGATTCTTCCTGTCTCGAGTGATCTGCATCCCAAGAATCTGTTGAGCCGGTCCTAAGTCTTTCATATCAAAAGACTTAGAGAGTTCTTTCTTCAGTTGGTTTATCTTCACTGCATCTTTCCCAACGATCAACATGTCGTCTACATATAGTAGAAGAGCAATGAAGGTACCGTCTGGAAGTTTCTTGATGTATACACACTCATCTGCAGTAGTCTTCTTGTAGCCTTGACTCTTCATGCATGAGTCAAACTTCTTATTCCACTGCCTTGGTGCCTGCTTCAAGCCATACAAACTCTTAGATAATTTACACACAAAATTATCATTTGAGTTCTCAAAACCTTCCGGCTGCTGCATGTAGATTTCTTCTTTCAAATCTCCGTGAAGAAATGATGTCTTCACATCCATCTGTTCAAGCTCCAAGTTCATACTTGCTGCCAAGCCAAGAATAACTCGGATTGAGGTCATCTTGACAACTGGTGCAAAGATCTCATCAAAGTCAATTCCTTTCTTCTGCTGGAACCCTTTGACAACCAACCGAGCTTTGTGTTTCACCACTTGTCCGCTTGCATCCTTCTTCAGCTTGAACACCCATTTGTTCCTTAGTGCCTTCTTCCCTTTAGGAAGTTCTACGATCTCATAAGTTTGATTTTTCTGCAGAGATTCTAACTCATCCTGCATTGCTATTAGCCATTTTTCTTTATCCTTATGAGATACAGCTTCTTGAAAACTCTCCGGTTCTCCATCTTCAGTTAACAAAAGATATTCGGATGATGTGTACCTTGTCACGCCCCGGACCTACCGGACACGTCAACAACCCGCCGTACAGTACGAATAGTCAACCGCAGTCCAACTCATCCATACTATACTAGGCGTCTTGAATATCATTCACAATAGTACATCCATAAACAAACATAATGTAAAATAATCATTTAAATCAGCGGAAACGTTTAATACAAGTGTTTATGCCACACTTCGGCAACATGGGCGTACAAGCCCCAAATAATTAATCAAAATAATATCCATGAGCATTAATTTAATGTTTTAAAAATAGAACGGAGGAAGCACGAACCACGTCTTCTCTCCCTGAGCTCCCCGAAGCAACGGGCGATGGTAGCAAGCTTTACTCCCTACCTGAAACTGTGAGGTGGCCTCCCCCGTGAAGGGGAGGTCAGTACTTGGAAGCATTTGACAAGTACAATGACAACTATACTAAGTATAATCAACGTTTTAATTTCTAAGACCCTCAAAATAGGGTGATATCATAATATAAATAATAATTTATATTTCCCACTTATTATCTCTATAATAAGTAAATTTATTTATTTGTCGGCACACGGCCCATTTCATATATTTCATTATACCCGTCGTTAGCACGACACCGCCCGTAGGTCTTATCATCCTTTACGAGACTTGTCACCGCTCTCCGAGGCCTCACCGGGCTCTCGGGCCGGAGTCCAACATCCCGCCCCTGAACTCATACCCATCGTCCCGTAGGAAGGTAAGGTCCATTCGGGGTCCTATCTTATGTGTTACCGCTGTCGGGAGCCTCGTAAGGTCTCCGGTTCGGATTCCACCCTAACCCGTGATCACGATGTAAGTCCATGCTATCCAACCCCGCTCTCTAGAGTCGGGAAGGGCCATGGTCCTTACTAATTACCAATACTCTATCGGCTAATCCTTAAAGACTACCGAATACACCCGTAGGCCAATCCTATTCCTAGGATCAATTTATTATTCACTTTATCTTGGGTATCCCTTAAGGCCTACCCCTAGCATCACTTATCCACCTTAGTATCTCTTAAGACTACTTAAGGCTCAACAATTTACAATCCAAACCTTGGATCAATTCTAACATATTTCATTCCAAAACCCCGACTAGTATCATAGTACTAGTCGGATAAATTCCAACAAAACTCATTTTCAATTCATAGTCATATAGACAATTTCCAAACTAATTTTCCATTGAAAATATAGTTCATATCAATATACAAAATATAACCTTTAATCACTCATATATCCTTATATGAAGTTAAAGTTATATTTCAACACCATATTTATAATTAATCCCTTCATCAAGCCAATATGCTCATATTACATAATCATACACAATTTATCCTTAAATTTGTATATTATGCTCCTTTATTCATTGACAACAATATTTTCATTTAGGCATTATTAATCATTAATAATCCATGAAAATCACATTTAATTACTTTAGGTAATCCTACGAAATTAACCCAAAGATTATAAGCAATATAGTCAGCCATCCTCACCTTATGAAGTGCTGGGTTAGTTGCCTTTGATAAGCCCTTCGATCGATCCCCGTTCTAAACCGATCAAGAGTGAAAAGTCTGGACAGAAGGTGAAAGCCGGGCGGCTTTCGTGAAAGCCGGGCGACGTTCGTGGTCTGCTACCACGAACAGCTCCTCCTTCTTGGCGGTTTCCGGTGGTTTCAACTCCTATCGATTCCACGACTCTTCTAAGTTAAATACCACCACTTTATAACATTATTCTACACTTTTAAACGTGTAAAAAACTCATGTTTAATCCGTCGTATGATTTCTTAAAATCATACAACATAAACTAGTTAAAGGACTATATAAGTTCTTACCTCCAATCCTAACACCTTGGATTTCCTTTGCTGGTTCTTCCTTCAACCTTGGATTCAATGAGAGTGTTTCCCAGAGCTCTCCTCTTCCTTGTGTTGGCCGAATGATTGCAAGGGGAGTAGGGGAGATGTCTATCTCAACCAACACAATAATGTGTGGGATATGGCATGGGGTGAGTGGGTTTTGTCTTGTGCAATCCCCTCCCCTATTGAGTCCGCCCCTCCCCATGTTTCCTTGTCTCAACTCATTATTTTGAGTCCACAAATCTTGTAGGAAAAACCCCGAATGGGGTAGAAAGTTCCTCCCAATTATTCCCGCTATTTCGGGCCGGTCGGATCAAAATAGCACCCGGGTTGTCCAAATATTTTTATCAACTTCGGTTGGCGTTTTATTGGACCCCCTATGATTTTTATGATAGCCCAACTAAATATTTGGTAGCCCATTCACATTTAATGGACCCGATAAATAATCTGATTAATCGCACATTAATTAAATATGCCCATTAATTACACGAATTTTATTTGCTAGGAAATTCAAATACATGTCACATTTCAAATTCAAGTACATCCGGGTGCGGTGTCACAAGTTCACCCCCCCTTAACGGGAATTTCGTCCCCGAAATTCACAATGCCTATTCAAAAAGAGATGCATACTGTTCCTTCATCAAGGCTTCCGTTTCCCAAGTTTCTTCTTCGACTCGGTCACTTTTCCAAAGGATTTTCACCATTGGAACCTTCTTGCTTCGTAGCTTCTTTACTTGTCTATCAAGTATCCTTACCGGTCGAACGGCATAGTTCAAGTCTTCACGTATCTCCACGGGTGGTTTCTCCAACACGTGAGATGGATCCGGCACATATTTCTTTAGCATAGACACGTGGAACACGTTATGTATCTTCTCCAATTCCGGAGTCAACTGAAGTTGGTATGCTACGGCCCCAATTCTTTCAAGAATCACAAATGGCCCTATGTAGCGTGGGTTAAGTTTCCCTCGGCTTTGAAAACGGATGATCCCTTTCCAAGGTGAAACTTTCAGAAACACCTCATCTCCCACCTTAAACTCTAAGGCTCTCCGGCGTTTATCGGCATAGCTCTTTTGTCTATCCTGGGCTGCCTTAAGCCTATCGCGAATCATCTTCACCTTTGTCTTGGTGATCTCCACCAATTCTGTGCTCTCAAGTTTGGCCATGCCAACTTCGTCCCAACACAAAGGCGTACGACATCGCCTCCCATACAATGCCTCGTATGGAGGCATGCCGATACTTGCCTGATAACTATTGTTATAGGCAAACTCAACGAGTGCTAAATGGTTGTCCCAACTTCCTTGGAACTCCAATGCACAGGCTCTCAGCATATCCTCTAAAATCTGTATAACCCTCTCGGATTGCCCATCTGTCTGGGGATGAAAAGCAGTGCTAAACTTCAATCTTGTCCCCATAGACTCTTGGAACTTCGGCCAAAATCGTGATGTGAATCGTGGATCCCTGTCGGATACAATGGTTATAGGAACCCCATGTAGCCTCACGATCTCATCCACATACAATTTGGCTAACCTCTCCAGTGCATAGGTGGTGTTGATAGGTAGAAAATGTGCACTCTTCGTGAGCCTATCAACCACAACCCATACGGCATCATAGTTCTTCACAGTCCGTGGTAGCCCTACCACGAAATCCATAGTCACGTGTTCCCATTTCCATTCTGGAATGGAAAGTGGCTGCAATAACCCCGCTGGATGCTGATGTTCTGCCTTGACTTGCTGACAAGTAAGGCATCGACTGATGTACTCGGCTATTTCCCTCTTCATACCAGACCACCAGTAACTTTCTTTCAAGTCACGATACATCTTCGTGCCCCCTGGGTGCATGGCATAAGCCGATGAATGAGCCTCCTCTAAGATGGACTTTCGGAGCTCCCCATCTGCCGGCACACACACTCGGTCACGAAGTAATAAGAGACCGTCATCTCTTTCCCTGAAGTCCTCCACTGGTCCCGCTTGCATGCGTTCTCGGATCCTTATGATTTCCTCGTCAGTTTCCTGACCCTTCTTGATCTCATCAAGCAAAGTAGGTCTCACCTCAAATCGTGCCAATAAGGCTCCATTACTGGATACCTCCAGTTGGGCTCTTAAAGCCCTCAAGTTAGCTATCAATGCCCCAGATGAGCTTTTCCGGCTCAAGGCATCTGCCACCACATTGGCCTTGCCTGGATGGTACTCGATTACCAGGTGGTAGTCTTTTATCAACTCCATCCACCGTCTCTGCCTCATGTTTAACTCTTTCTGAGTAAACACGTACTTCAAGCTCTTGTGGTCAGTGTATATGTGGCATGTCTCCCCGTAGAGATAATGTCTCCATATCTTAAGTGCAAACACCACTGCCCCGAGCTCCAAATCATGAGTAGGATAATTTACCTCATGTTTCTTCAATTGTCGTGAGGCATAGGCAATTACCCTCCCCATTTGCATCAACACACATCCAAACCCTTGGATGCTGGCATCACTATAGACATCGTACCCCATACCCTGCTTGGGTAATGCGAGTACCGGTGCCTCGGTCAATCTCCTCTTTAGTTCAATGAAACCTTTCTCACATTTGTCATCCCATACAAACTTAGTCCCTTTACGAGTGAGCTTCGTCAATGGTGATGCCAAAACGGAGAACTTCTCCACGAACTTTCTGTAGTAGCCTGCCAACCCAAGAAAACTACGAACTTCCTTGACGTTCTTTGGCCTCTCCCATTCGGTAATGGCTTCTATTTTCTTGTTATCAACCGCAATTCCCGATCCCGAAACCACATGCCCGAGAAAGCCAATCTCCTTAAGCCAAAATTCACACTTAGAAAACTTGGCATAGAGTTGCTTCTCCCGTAGTGTCTCGAGAACGAGTATCAAGTGCTCCTCATGCTCTTCCTCACTCTTTGAGTAGATCAAGATGTCATCAATGAACACAATCACGAATCGATCCAAGTATTTATGGAATACTCGGTTCATCAAGTCCATGAATGCCGCTGGGGCGTTCGTTAACCCAAACGACATAACAAGGAACTCAAAATGTCCATACCTAGTGCGGAAGGCACTCTTCGGTATGTCATCCTCTTTGATCTTCAATTGATGGTACCCCGACCTCAAGTCGATCTTCGAGAACACAGTTGCTCCTCGTAGTTGGTCAAACAA